CGCGCGTTCAAACAAAAAGAAACGCGAGAAACATTCCGTGGAATGGAAATGAGTAGAACAGACGAGAAGCACGAAATGGTAACAAAAATGGGCTCATTCTGTTATCGCGACAATTCCACGAGAACGCTCCCCGTTTCTTTCTACGTAGTACGTATTAACCACTTGCGCTGGCAACTGATTGCGGACCATAACGAGTGACCAAATCGTTTACAACAATTCGTCGCTTGTTTTTCTTTGAACTCGTCGATATCATATGACATCATTGGATAGAAATTAGTGAGAAGTAATAAATTTATTATTTGTTCTATTTTGTTTTACTCAAGTGTACTTGAAACTGAGAAAAATATTACACTTTTCGAACAAAAAATTCTCGACGTACGTCAGTCCACCGCAACTGATTGAGGACCATAACGAGTGACCAAATCGTATACAACAAATCGTCGCTTTCTTTTTTGAACTCGTCGATATCATATGACATCATTCGATAGAAATTATTGAGAAGTAATAAATTTATTATTGGTTCTATTTTGTTTTACTCAAGTGTACTTGAAACTGAGAAAAATATTACACTTTTCGAACAAAAAATTCTCGACGTACGTCAGTCCACCGCAACTGATTGAGGACCATAACGAGTGACCAAATCGTATACAACAAATCGTCGCTTTCTTTTTTGAACTCGTCGATATCATATGACATCATTCGATAGAAATTATTGAGAAGTAATAAATTTATTATTGGTTCTATTTTGTTTTACTCAAGTGTACTTGAAACTGAGAAAAATATTACACTTTTCGAACAAAAAATTCTCGACGTGCGTGGCACGTCAGTCCAGCGCAACTGATTGCGGACCATAACGAGTGACCAAACCGTATACAGCAATTCGTCGCTTTCTATTTGAACTCGCCGACACGATATCACTGGATAGAAATTATTAAGAAGTAATAAATTTATTGCTTCAGCATACTTGAAACTGAGAAAAATATTGCAATTTTGGAACAAAATATTCTCGACATGCGTGGCACAAGAGGTTGGCACAAACCACTTGCGTTGGCAACTGATTGAGGACCATAACGAATGATCAAACCGTATACAACAATTCATCGCTTTCTTTTTTCAGCTCGTCGATATCATATGACATCATTGGATAGAAATTATTGAGAAGTAATAAATTTATTATTTGTTCTACTTTATTTTACTCAAGTGTACTTGAAACTGAGAAAAATATTACAATTTTCGAACAAAAAATTCTCGACGCGCGTGGCACGTCAGTCCAGCGCAACTGATTGCGGACCATGACGAGTGACCAAACCGTATACAGCAATTCGTCGCTTTCTATTTGAACTCGCCGACACGATATCACTGGATAGAAATTATTAAGAAGTAATAAATTTATTGCTTTAACTTAAACATACTTAAAACTGAGAAAAATATTGCAATTTTGGAACAAAATATTCCCGACATGCGTGGCACATCGTTCCAGCGCAAGAAGTTAATAGACGTTGTCGGAGACGATGTTTTGCCCAGATACAAGGGAAGCAACGAGTATACTCGCGATATACGCAAGCTCGCTCGCGGTACTTGGCGCACGTACGCGAGCGAGGAGCCAGCGTTCGCCGAGAAGCGGGTCGCCGATATTCGTCGAGGGTCTAAATGCAGCAACGCCGCGCGCATAATCTATACGCTCTCGTTGAAGAAATCAGACGCGGTGATTTACTGCGCTCTGCCGATACGCGTCCACGTGTGCGCAACTGCACTTCAAGTGTACGTGCGTTTCCCTCCGTGCCCGAGATCGTTTCCATTACCAAGCGTGTGCATCTTCTCCGCTCGCGTCTTGCTCATGTCCGTCTAATAACCTGGTTGAATCACAGCCGCGAGTACAGGTAACGAGTCGATCGAAACGAACGTATATCTTCCCGAGGAATTCCTACCACTTTCTTATTGGAATTGGCGGCACCGGGGACCGCGTAATTGGCTATCGTTTAAAGGAGAGAGTAGCTTGTTTTCAAACCGTAGGGAAATTCAAAACAAGTTCACTCGGTGCTAGTTGATGTTTTGCGTGGTGGATTTTTTTTTTTTGTACCAGTGCCAGCTTGATTCACGGCATGATTCTACTCTTCTGTTCCTTTTTTTTTTTTTTTTTTTTTTTTTTTTTTGGAAGGACTCGTGAATAATGGCACAGACACACTATTGACAGAGATAGGTCGGAACGCGGTAATTAGAACAATCGGAGACCGATACCGTGCAAAGGACGTTTAGAGATCTGCGCTCTGGTAACTGTAGATCAAAGCAATTTACGCGCGCGACTCCACTGAAAGTCGGAATGCCCCTTTCGACATATTCGCTATGGAAATATCGCTGGTCGTGACCATCGTGGCGGATATATGTAATAGGGGTACCCATAAGTAATGCCGTTTTCAAAACCTCGGGATGCCGTATTTACGACCATAAATCTCTATTGTTCGATTTTCTTTTATGCTCCATTGTACACTGATTCTCTAAAAAAGAATCTTCTTTCATAAATCAATTCTCTTCTTAAAAACTGGGCTATCCAACCCGATAGTCTGGGAAACGAGCAATAATTTAATTCTTTCTTTCTTTTTTTTTTTTTTTGTAATGACATGACAATATCTCATTATAAAAATTTAACTATAACCTTTAATTACTGTATTCCGAAGAAAATCATTACCTTTTGACGTTTTTTTCAAATTTAATAAACATTGCCATCTAGTGACAATATTTTAACTTATCACAACATAACTTATATCCCGTTAAATATATTGTAATTAACTAGACATTATAGTTAAATATTGACGTTTAGTGTGCTTATTGTTAAATTATATTATGCATTAAAACTGTATTAAAACTCTTAAGTAAAATAAAATTTTGTACAGTATGAAAAAAACGACGTTATACTTATGGGTACCCCTAATACATCGACAGCTCGTGAAAAATGTTCGTCGAGGGGGGTCTTGCCAGATGAAAGTAAACTTGACGAAATGAGACGTCGCGACTGATCGAGCGGATTTGCAAGTTCGCGCAGACTTAGCACGTTATTGACTACAAACCTATTAATCGATCAGAAACTTCTTTGTTGCCAACGCTTATCAATTTGTTGGTTTCTTGCAATTCCAAAGATGATGAATATTTGTTTAATACACCAAATACTTGCGAGAAGAATACCCAGATTCGATAGTCTAGAAAAACTGTCAAATTTCAGAAAATAACTCGTAAATAACTGATGAAAGTGAAAGTGAAAAATCCCAAAGACAATAGAGTAGAGTTTAACAAAATAGAGAGTATTGTGTTTAATAAATTTAACGTGTTCTATAGATAATTATTTAAAACTGGCTCTACATGAAACAAATATTTTCATGATACTGATATTATGAAAATTAAAAAAAAAATGTGATTATTATGAAATTTCATTACCCTATAATGAAATATAAGAGAAAGTAGGACGACATAGTGAGCAGTTCAACGTAGAATTTGACACTTTTGAACGAGTATCGATTTCGTCGAATCAGCATCGATTTAGGATTTTAAAGGCAGCTTTCACTTCGAATTTAATATTTTGACATTGTTCCGATTTTTACCGCTGCTTCGACATTTTCGAGCGTGTTACTTATCGACACGCTATCGCAGATTTCGTTAGATTTCTGCGACTTGCCATTTCCATTGCAGCTTGCGACTTCAAAGCAAAAGTGAACCGCCGGGGCCGTACGTGTTAAACGCGCGCCAACTAAACTGATGACCCAAGGATAAAAAAAGACGAGGAGGAAAAAAGAACAGGCGAGCACGAAGCGACAATTATCTTAATCCAGTTGTTCTCTTGGAAAGCCACGCTGATTCCTGACCCGTATCGATAGATACCGTTATGGAAAAACGTAGATCGTGAGAGAGGAAGAGAGAGCTGTTAATATTCAATTACATGGAAGCTGAGTCGATGCATTGCACGTTATCGAAACGCGGGGTGAATCCTTAGACGAAGCGTAGCGGTCTACCACGCTGTCCTCTCGGTCCTGTTCTTGTTCAGATTCGTGTTTCGAATACGAGTAACTCTTGGAGTACGTGCGTACGTTGCCTCCCCCGCCCTCGTCCTCGTCCTCGTCCTCTCGCCCATCGACAACATTATCGTCCCTATTCCTCCGGACTCCGCCAGTTCCCCGTTCCATCCCTCGAACATCGCACAGCTTGTTTCGACGCGTCCGTAAAACATCAAAGTTTCTCTCTGTCTCTCTCTACCTCTCTATCTCTCTTCCATCTTCCCCTTACCAATGCATCATCATTTTTATCTTCTCATCGCGGGTCACGTGTGCGGTCACGTACAACACGCCCTCCAAACAATACGCTTTAACAAATATATCGACGAGGAACCGACGCGACTCCAAACGCATTACCGTTTTTGAATGGTTCCGCGAACCGGCCAAGGAAATGATTATCGAATAATGATCCCCGGCGAGCGATCCGATCGATACCGTGTTACACGTTTCGATGCTTAGGCGCGTCGCTTGCATACGAATCTACGTACATTTAGAGGAAGGAGGTGAGGGGAGGGGAGGGAAACGTGTCGCGCGGAACGGTGACGATGGCGGTTTGACGTGGCGTAGAATTAAATTTTCCCCGAAAAAAATTGGAAAGCAAGCGGCGAGGACGGTGAACAACAAAGTGGAGAATTCGGCCGGGGGAATTAGTTTTCGCGGTTAGTTTAGGCGGGGCAAGAAGACACGGTGGATCCGAGCGGCCACCGCAGGTTGGCGCTCCGCGCGAATCACAACACTGCCACGCGCGCCGCCGTGTTCTCCCGTGTCTTCTCCCGTACAGAGTTCCCCCAAAAATACTCTTTTGTATCGTAGAAAGCGAGCGAGAGAAAGAGAGAGAGAGACGTTGCATCGTCCAACTCTTTCCTTCTACAGACACGAACAAGAAGAAGAGAGAAGAAAATGAGAAAAACACAGATAGATAGATAGATAGAAAGAAGAAGTTCTTTTCTTACTACGTACTGGTGGAGCGAAGCAGGATGAAGACATACGGCGGGTCACTGTCCCGATATCACATTGGCGGTCGAACGCAGCCTCGTTGATCGAGACGCGAACGAAACGATCGACGCACGTTCGCTAGATCGTTCGCGTGCAATCACGCTTGGCCTGGTGGCGCCAGAAACACGGTCGTACACGCGACACGCACGAGGAGTACGACGTACGATGACAACGATAACAACAACTCCTTCCTTCCTTCCTTCCTTCCTTCCTTCCTTCCTTCGTCCCTCTCGCTCTCTCTCTCTCTTTCTCTGTCTACGACGGCGAGAGACGCGACGATGCCATATATCGTTCAGCAACGAACGAGAAACACTGAGACGAAGCAGCACGCGCCACCACCTTTTTGTACGAGCGAACTGTGTACTCACGGACGCCGACTGTGCCGCCGAGGGTTGAATGCGAACCAGCGGAGGGGTAAGAAAGTGCGCAGTAAGGAAAGCATGGGCTCCGCCCTCCGCTGCGTCCACCCTCGCACCCATCCCCACCCCTCGCAACCTACCTCTATTGCCTCGCTCTGTCTCTCTCTCTCGCTTTCTCCTTCGGAACAGACTTACGCTACCATCTGGAACTCTACCACCCCCCCCCCTCCCTCATCCTCCCTCCGCCGCCGCGACCGACCACCCCCGCGGCTTCCACCACTTCCGTCTGCCAGCGTAATATTACGGTCAGAGCGTGAGGAATGACCGTAGGTGTTTTCTTTTCTCTCTAGGTTTCGGCCTGATCCATCTCGACCTTCGCTCCCCCCTCATGCCTTGCCGCTTGCTGCTTTTCATACGGACGGACGGACGGCGGCGTGCTTGTTGTGACGTTACTTCTCCACACGCGGCGGATTTCTTACGTACGGCACTTATCCGACGAGCGAAAAAGAGAGAGAAGGAGAGAGAAAGAGAGGGAGGGACTCGTAATGGACGGCGGTTGCTCGTGTTTTTCACGAATGACGTATCGACACACCGGCGAGGATTCGCTGATAAAACGGACACGACGCAGGTGAGTCCGTAAGCCGGCTGGCTTCTACCTTTTTCTCTTTTAAATCGGACGTGTGACGTACATATTATCGAAAGTATGACGTATTACGTGCGACGAATGTTTGATGTCAGAATTATGCATGCGTATCATTCGCTAACGTTACATTTTATGGAGTCGCGTGACTATTATAAATTTGGGGATCGCAGAAATTTTAGCAAAAGTATGAATATTCGTTCGCTACGTTGTATTAATATATTGGCCGTATTTTATTTAAAATTATGTTCACGTGTGTACCAAAGAAATTATCTTTACGATTCATCGTCAGTAAATGTTTCCAATTATCGAGAGTATGACGAATTACATGCAATGAATGTTTGATGTTAGAATTAAGCACCCTTTGCTATCTATCCCGTATTAAACGTTACATTTTACAGAGTCGCGTGACTATTATAAATTTGGGGATCGCAGAAATTTTAGCAAAAGTATGAATATTCGTTCGCTACGTTGTATTAATATATTGGCCGTATTTTATTTAAAATTATGTTCACGTGTGTACCAAAGAAATTATCTTTACGATTCATCGTCAGTAAATGTTTCCAATTATCGAGAGTATGACGAATTATATGCAATGAATGTTTGATGTTAGAATTAAGTACCCTTTGCTATCTATCCCGTATTAAACGTTACATTTTACAGAGTCGCGTGACTATTATAAATTTGGGGATCGCAGAAATTTTAGCAAAAGTATGAATATTCGTTGGCTACGTTGTATTAATATATTGGCCATATTTTATTTAAAATTATGTTCACGTGTGTACATTGATATTAGAATTAAGTATGCGTACCCCTCGCTATCTATCCTGTTCTGAACGTTACATTTTATGGAGTCGCGTGACTATTATAAATTTGGGGATCGCAGAAATTTTAGCAAAGTATAAATAATAATAAATAAAATAATTTTAGCAAGTATAAATATTTGTATGCTGCATTGTATCAATATATTGGCCATATTTTATTTAAAATCACGTTCACGTGTGTACATTGATATTAAAATTGAGTATGCGTACCCCTCGCTATCTGTCCTATCCTGAACGTTACATTTTATGGAGTCGCGTGACTATTATAAATTTGGGGATCGGAGAAATTTTAGCAAAAGTATAAATATTTATATGCTGCATTGTATCAATATATTGGCTACATTAATACACGGTATATATTAATATACTGAACATATTGATACATGGTAAAATTATTATATTCACATGTATCACCAAGGAATTACCTTCGGATAAACTCCCCTTACGATTTATCGTCAGTAAATGTTTTAATTCGTATCACACACACCCAAGATTCGTACACCTTCTGTATGCCTAGACTTGCGAAAATATTTGTTCAGGTAAAAGGCAGGCCCGCCAAGTGGACAAGTTCGAGAAGCCCTGTTTTAGAGAAGCTCGCGTTCAAACAAACTTCACGCTAAAACGCAAGATCGATTTATCGTACCTTTCATCGTGCCTACGTGTATGTACAACCATACGACGTCGTATATAATCGCCTATCGATTAACGCGTTTCAAACTCTTTGCGCTGTCTCGCTCACTGTCTCAGTATCTCGACGTACAAAAGTCATTACGAAGGGATTAATCATATCGATTAACCTCGAGGTTTTTGTTTCCCTGTCTCTCTCGAACGATGGAGATTGATTCCAACGGAGAGAGAGAGAGAGAGAGAGAGAGAGAGAGAGAGAGAAAGAGGGAGGTTAAAGATATATGGAGCGCAATCAAAGTTTCGGGATCAAGGAGCCGAGGTGTGTTTCCCACTTCGATTATCTTCGTTCCCCACGCTCGTTTTCACCAACTTCGGCGCTCGAACCGAAACCCCTTAAATTTCGCAACCGACTGGTTTACGGGGCGATCGAACGTTTCGACACGCTCGATCACAGAGACCGATTGTTCGTATCGCGGATCCTCTCTCCTCGGCCGGTCTTTGTCTCTCGGGCGCTAATGTCGCAAAAGCAGGAGACGCTCTCAGCCGTGCGATCGAACAAGACCTTTGAGTTCCGCGGTGGAAATTGGAAATTCAAGAAATCGAGACGGAATGCCGTTACGGAATGCGAATTCCGTCACCGCGGGAGCCGCGCGTTGCTCGTAATAAGCGCGCTAATCGAATCGGAAACCGGTTTAGCGCCTCGATAATGCACGATTCACTCCGGACGGGTCGCCTCGCCTTTTTCTCAGTTTATCGCCAGATAAATTTCCCACCGTCGGCTCACGTTTTTTCTGTGTCCGTGGATAGCTTCGTGAACGCTCCACCGAATAAAATACGTCGGTCTGGATGAAAAATTTGAAGAAGTTCGACTCGAGACATTAACCACGCACGCGTCAAACAAGACCGGTTTTAAAATTTAATTTAATCCCGTCGAACGTTTCGTTTTATTTAGTTTGAGAGTGTGCGGTGGCGTGCTTGATTATTTCTAAACGACGACGAGTATACTCGACGAAAACGTAAAGCATGTGAAATGTTGCTGTACGATTAAGTATTGAATCATTTTTGGTGTTTCTTTGAGAAATTTTCAATTTTATTTACGGTATTTACGGCATTTGACATTTTATTTTTTGAAAATTATTCTATGGAAAAAGAAACCATTGAAAATTCAAACTTGAATTGTCATCAATTCACAAGAAGAAGAAGAAAAAAACTCTGACAATTTGTAAGACTAAATCAAGGAAAAATATTTATGTTCGAAGTATACCATAAACTATATATCAAAAATTATTCCAAGAAAAAAAAGCAAAACGTACGAGAACTAAGCAATACTTCGCACTCGCAAAAAACAAGCCAAATATAGATTTTGCAAAGATAATGAAACAACTAAATCTTGTACGATTGCGGAAAGTGTACGAAGAAGGAACTCATCATCTGTAAAATGATGCCTATGCCTCCCATCATTTCCTGTTTATGTTAAAATATAAAAATAAAAACATACGATTATTATTTTGTTATTATTTAAAAGTTTTAACAAATTGAAAATCCGTATTTCTTTAAAAAACGAAAATCACCGATGATTTGAAAAATAAGTGTTGCAAAGTGACGGTACGATTAACCACGTGCACGGTGGAAGATTTTATTCGGGTTGAGTTCGATATTGGTCGCATTCTTTCGACAAGGGGGTGCTGCCTCGATATTCGTTCAAAAATATTTGATATTCGTCGACAAAGGTTTCGTATTCCACGATCACCCGAGACCTGTGCCGTCAGCCTTATGCGAGTGCTGTAGTCACTTGTTCAATTGTAGCATTTTCTCAAGTTTCGGCGAACATTCGTAACAAAGAAGGGACGCCAATATAGAAATCTTTGTCCCTAGTTGTATCACGTATACACTTCATCTACGGTACGGTCGACTCTTTCGAGTTTATCACCTTTTGTCACGGTCCGCGAGAACCTTTCAACAACTCACGTTACGAGCATAAAGCATGTTTGTCTCTTTCTTTCTTTTTTTTTCCACGGCGGACATTTCTCAATAAAACTAAATTTATTTGTTTATCAATGATGTTAACCTCGTGGCTATGGTGTCGCTTTTAAAAAACCTGTATCTAGAACGACGCGATGACAAGTATACTCGTCAAACGCAGAATATGTACGTTAAACTGTAAGGAAATAACGCTAGTTTCATTAATCAAAAATCAATAATTTTATTGTTCAACTTAACTGACATTAACCCTTATCACAAGAACTCTTGTGTTGAGTCACACTATTTTTAAATTGCTAGTGAAATTGTCCAAAAAAAGAAAAAACAAAATTAGTTTGGAGTGCAAAGGGTTAAGTTAAATTTTGTCTCGCGCGTAAAGAAATATTTAGAAATGATGCGAACGAAACTAGTCAAGCCTGGTCTCGAAATATTCTAAAATGTCTAAAATTTACAAATATGTTTTGCTTTCCAAAAAAAAAAAAAAAAACTGAATTTAAGTACTTTTCTAAGTACTAAGTAGTAACTAAGAGATTAAATACACTTCAAGAAAGA